TTAACCCACAGCACCACCCGCGTCCCTTAGTTTATGCTTAGTTGTGAGAAAATACAACCATGAGCCTTTCCTTATATTATTGCCTTCCTCCTCCCTTTCTTCTGTCCTTCACATGCTTAGAAAGAGGGCAGGAGCAGGACAATGCTCTCCCTCCTGTGCTCTCCATCAATTGGTATTCAGACGAGTACTGATACTGAAGGTAATAAATAGCCATCATGACTATATGTCTTTACAGAATCATTGAATCAAAGATCTGTACAGTTGGAAGGGATCATGAAGTCTCATCTAGTCCAACCCCCCTGCAATGCAGATATCATTTGCCCAGTGTGGGAATCGAACCCATGACCCTGAAATTGGTCTCCTGCTCTACCAACTGAGCTAAAGTTGGACTATAAAAAATAATTTGGGGTATTAATTTTCCCATACACATTTCACCTGTTGTTGCCTCCACCCCCCTATGATTGAACCAAATAACGGTTGCAAGGTGAAAAGAGAGGGAGAAAAAAATCTTTGAAATTATCTTAATTTCCAACATTGCATCTGGAGCCCAGTTTATATAAAATACATTTTCAGCTCCCTGGGTCTGCGCCTTTCACATTGTCTCTGATGGAACATCCAAGCCCGTCTTCTTTCAAGCCCACGTATTCACTGCTAAGTCTAAGTGGTTTATATAAAAGGCTTAACTATAAATAGATTTAGGTCTGAGCTATTCCTCCTAGAGGTACAATGTGCATTTGCTCTCCATTCTAACAGAGAGCTTTATCCTCCACAGGCAGAAAGTCGTCCCATTCTTTATAACCAGCCTGCAATCTGATTCCATTTGCAGAGCCTCTGTGAGGCCCATTGTGAGTGGATTGGTTTGCTAATTAAACACTATGGTTCTATCTAGGCTCTAATTCCACAAAAGCTTATGTCACAATAAATCTGTTGGTCTTTTAAGGTGCCGTGACACTCCCTTAGGCATGCTTTGTGTTTCCTCTTATTAGTCACTGATTAATTTTCTTTGCAGATGGAAAGAGCAATCTACAGGTTGCATGCTAGGGAGTTGCACGACCCTAGATTGGAGTTCCACTCCTGTTTCCAGCACAAAGTGGACTACCCAGTCTAGGCCCCTGTGGGTTGGAAGCTCACTACATTGTGAGCCACTGTACTGAGGAAATGGTTTGGGTACCACAAAGGAGTGGGGAGGGTAATGGTAAAGGTAAAGGACCCCTGGACGGTTAAGTCCAGTCAAAGGCGACTATGGGGTGCGGTGCTCAACTCACTTTCAGGCCGAGGGAGCCGACGTTTGTCCACAAACAGCTTTCCGGGTCATGTAGCCGGTATGACCAAACCGCTTCTGGTGCAACGGAACACCGTGACGGAAGCCAGAGCGCACGGAAACACCATTTACCTTCCCACCACAGTGGTACCTATTTATCTACTTGCACTAGTGTGCTTTCGAACTGCTAGGTTGGCAAGAGCTGGAACAGAGCAACGGGAGCTCAGCCTATCATGGGGATTCAAACCGCTGACCTTCTGATCGGCAAGCCCAAGAGGCTCAGTGGTTTATACCACAGCGCCACCCATGTCCCGTGTGGGGAGTGTAGAAGCAATGTGACTCACACCCTCCCGAGACACACCCCTCACCAACCCTGCCTTGCACCCTGCTTGAGTTTCTTTGCCCTGAACTCTAATAATGGCTCTGGATGGAGGATAGAAGTGTGGCTGTGGACTCAGGTGAATTTTGTCTCTGGACATGCCCACCATTGACATTTCGCCCCCGGGGTTCTACCTAGAAGGGAATGTTACTCTCAGTCTGAAAAAAGTTCCCCCACCCCTCATCTATAGCAGAGGCACCACCTTGGGCCAAAGATTGTGGGGGGCTCAGTGGCCCAGTGTGCACGTGGTGGTGAAAGGAGGTACATTGTTGGTAGGAGGCCTTGCCCAGTGCCATGCAGCTTCAATGTCCATGGCTCCTCTTCTCTCACGCTCAGGAGGAGCCTGCCTTTGATGCTTCGCCATGCTCAGCTTGGCTAAGGAATATTGAGGGGGGCTGGCAACACCACTGCCCCCTAGAGTTGGCACACCTGATCTATAGGAAGCTGTTGGGAGTGGTGATTAGAAGATTCACAACATGGTGTCACCAGTGGGCTGATGATACCTAGCTCTGGTTCTCTGTTACAGCCGAATTGAGTATGGTGGGGCAAGTCCTAAGCTGGTGCCTAAACAGGGTGGTGGGCTAGATGACGGCCAATAAGCCCAATCTTTAGATGGAAGATCTGTGGGCGAGTGATTCCTGGGCGTACGTGCCTCTTTTGGACTGGGTTGCAATCTCTCTGAAGGAATAGATGCACAGTCTAGGGCAGCTCCTTGATCCATCTTTATCCTTGGTGACCTCAGTGGCTAAGAGTCCCATAGCATGGGCTGCTATGCCATTATAGCTTCAGGGAATCATTCATTGGTAACCTTGGGGTTGGACTTTTGTAACGTGGCACCCTACAACTCCCATCGTTCCTGACCATGCTGTCTGTGGCTGATGGGAGCTAGAGTCCCCCTCTATGGTCCAAAAAGTGTTAGTGATTCTGCATACAAAATGGGGCAGTGGATCTTATTTGAGATTAATTATGCCACACTAAAAGGATCTGACCTTGTTTATGTAGTCTTAGACATGCAGCAAAATGCTTATGCTGCTCTCTAATGGCTCATTTGCATTTTTGAATATTTTGCAACTCTTGTGTTGCACAGCTGGACTGGGGGAGGCCTGGAATGGATCTGCATTTCTGCTTTTTCTCTGGCCAGATTCCTCCACCTCTGCCATCACCACCACCATAATATATGCAGAGTTTGCAACAGATGGTGAATGAGAGCAGACAATATAATGTTGTAATGACTCAAATATGAGAAATCATCATGTCTCAAGTAAAGTAGACCTTGTGCTTTTTTTGAGAGAGAGAACACAGTCCTCTATTTGGTGGGCTGTTCTGTCCAATATTAGGAATCATCAAAGGGGAGCTTGTACAGCAGACTAACAGAGTCTGTGACTGCATAGCACCTGGTCATAGTCTTTGTTGCCATGCTGCTATATAGATTTAATTACAGTTATTATTTCTACATTTGTATCTATAGATATAAATTAGCATGTGCTTCTTTTCTGCAGATCGGTACCATCTTTTATTGTGTATTTGTTATGCATTTCCTTATTTTTTGCATTACAAGCCCTTCGCTGAAATTTAGGGAGGGACTGCTTTGACAAAATTTGTTTGCTCTTACGATCAACAATCTGGTGTGAAATGTAGATTGTGCCGAGACTGTTCCTGTTTCAGATGGTAAGATTGTCAGTGATGCTTCACAACAGAAGTAAGAAAAAATGAGTGTAGTAAGAAAATAGTCCAGTAAATGCTGGGTTGAAACTGAGTCTAAGAGGTCTGGCGTATAAGTTGGACGGACTCATTGCGTAGGTTTAGCGTGCTATTTCCTTTCATCAGCCTGTTCCACTGGCTTGGTTCAGGTATAGCACAAAGCCATGGTTTGTTTGAACCTAAGACTGCCCACAAACTGTGGTTGACAAATATTGATTTAGAATTGCAATTGGAACCTGGTTTGAAAAACCACCATTTTACAAGCTGATCTGCACACTACTCTTTGCTGTTGTGCCTGAATTCAAGCACCATTGACCAACCACAGTTAAAGTCATTACTGCAGCGTAAGAGGCTGCTGTGCTGGGGAGATGGAAGTGAACTTATGAAGCTGAGCCTTGAGCAAATGAGAAACAAAAGCTGACAAGTAGCTTAAGATTGTTGTTTGCCTGCTGTGTACATGGAAGCTAAAACCATGGTGTAGGTTCTTTAGTATGCTTAGCACAAACCACGCGTTCCGTTTTGCATTACATCTGAACTCATCCACAGTCTCTTTAGGCAGTGATCTAAACTGGTGTTGGCAGTCAGCACAAAGGTTAGGTTACACAGCATTCCCATTGGGAAATTCTGGGAGTGAGGTTGCATCAGGAAACAAAATGCATAGTTCATCAAGGGAGGAGCTTAATAGATCACACTTGCAAAGGAAAGTATGACCTAATTTTCACAGCAATTGCTATGTAAGTATATTAGGCATGTAGCGATCACATGCTCTGAGAAGAGTCCTCTCAGAGTTAAAAGCAGAAGAGTGCAAAGGTAGTCTTTCCTTTTGCCGCAGGGTTTTACTTTTTCTGAAATATTGAAGTTGATCAAAATGAAAACCACAGCCGCTGGAAATTAAAGTAGGCTGTACAATAGGAAGTGTTGGAGGGTTGGTTCACTGCAAGCAAAGGGCTGGCCTAAGATATTTTGCTGCCTGAGGCAAAGGACCAGATGGTGCAGTCCATGTACGGAAGCCAACTGGACTGGAGGGTGAATCGTATATTGACAGGACAGTGTCCTTCGCCACACTTGAGGGCAGTAAGCTAGCTTGGGAGAAGCTCTGTCCTCCAACACTTTGTCGCCACTGCCCCTCTTCCCCTACTATCTGCTACCTGAGGCAATTACCTCACTTTGCCTAAGGATAGGGCCAACTCTGTGAAAGCCCAAAATGATTCCCCTAAAAAAAACACACAACTAAGTCCAGCATCATAGGAAAAGAACAGGACTAGAATGTGATCCTCTTGTAAAACATATCCAAAGCATGCAAGTATTTTCTCTTCTTTTTCTCACATTCGGGGGAGGTTAATGCATATGTTTCCTTCTAAGTAGAGCAAAAGGGATTGGGACAGCTGCAGTAAATCCCCTTGACTTTAAAGAGAAGGCATGATTATTCTCAGGGTCTCTCCCAACTCTACAATTCTATGATTCTATGGAATCAGCTTCTTTTGGGGAAATCCCATAGTACCTGGCTTTACTATGCAATCTTTGCTTTTTAGATGAGAAGCAATTTGTGGAATTAACGGGGATGTTTAGCAAAAACACCACCACCATGTCTCTTAAGCCCCCCACGGCTTTTCTCAAAATCTTTTTTTTTTCTTCTTCTTCTTCTTGTCTTCATTTCAGGATGAAGGAAAGTGCAGACCATTAGAAGTCACAAAGTTAGAAGGTGCTGAAATTGGTGTGGACAGTACCCTGGGCAAGCCCTTTGTATTTAAGTGCATTCCTCAGACTGGAAACAGGATTTTTTACTTCTGTGCCACATCAAACCAAGAGATGAAGAGGTACAAAATCCACTCACTACATTCCTTTCTATGTTTTCTTTCTTCCTAGTTCTGCAAAATAGATTTGCTTATTAAGGTCAATTGCATAAGCAGCAGGCAGTCTCTTACCGCAGGAGAGAAAACATTTGCACTGAGATTTAATTAGGGTTACCACATATACAATTCTCCTCTCCCCCATCAGCATTCTGTCAGTAACTTGCATAATATGTTATTTTATTTTGCATTCCTCTGCTTTTTTTTGTTCTTTAGCATAATCATTTAAGAAAAGCAGTCCTGGATGGACCAAACCAAAGGCCTCTCTGATACAGCATTTTCCATTTATTTATTACATTTATATCCAACCTTTCCTCCATGGGGCTTGAGCTGATGTACATTTCATCCTCACAACAATTCTCTGAGGTAGAGGTTAGATTGCGAGTGGGTGGCTGGCCCAAGGTCACCCAGCAGCCTTCATGGCCAAGTGAAGATTAGAACCCTGGTCTCCCAGGTCCTAGTCCAACACTCTAACCACTTCACCACACTGGCTCCCTGCTTGTTTCCAACCAGCTTCCTGTGGGAAATCAGCAAGCAGGGTATGAGGTCAACAGCCTTCACTCACTGTGATTTCCCCAGCAACTGTATTCAGCCTGCTTTCAAGATTTCCATTTGCGCATTCTCTGCATATTCTATACACACATAATTCCTTCTCCTACTAGGAGACACCAATACTGTTTTGGATATAGGTGGCTATGTGCATATTTGTCCTCCGACAGCAGAGGAAAAGAAGTATGGCAATGGTGGAGATGAGGAACATTTGCAAAATGTTTCTTCATGCCAGTATGAGGAATGCTGTGAGGGTGTTAGCACCTGTTTTTGTGAGGTACAGACTCCTGCATGTGTTTGAAATTGGCCCTGCCAATTATTTTATCACACAGGCCTGTGTAAGTGAGTAGCTATCTACCATTTTCCCTAAAGGGCCACAAGGCCCCTCGTGCAGGATGTTGCACTATTCCTGTCAAGCAAACCTATTCTCATCTATGGTTTTTTCCCCCTCCATAGGTGGCTGGAGGCCATGGAGAAAGCTGTGCATCCCGTTCATCAGGTAATCCTTGCCAGAGCCTTTGTTTCTGTTTGTGCATGTCCATTTCTAATTTACAGACTTTACATGCTGAGGGTGACCTTAATTTGTGCATAGACTCACCAAAGTCTACGAGAGAGTACTTGACAAGGGATTAAGTCCCCCTTCTGGTCTCTCACATATGCCAATCCTAGGGCACATGCTGAGTGAGTACTTTATCTTCATGGCCCTCAGCTCTTGGCAGTCATTCATGGGGCAGGCGGAACCAACTTCAAGTGTTCTGCATGCTATTTGCAAACCAACAGGTGAGCTGCTGTGTGAAGGTGCCCTGCACTCTGGGATCTCTCTGTAATAGTTCTTTCTTAGCCATAGCAACAGCTTTGCTAAGCCATTCTTGAAAACAGAAACATTAACTCTGGTAGGGTATCCAGATTTGCAACTCCAAGCAACCCTTAACAAAGGCCCAGAATTCCTCAATAGAAAGAATATGCTTAAGAAGGTCTAAATTAGGGACAAGGAACCTCCAGCCCTCCAGATGCAATCCTCATCATCCCTAACCATGATGGTTCAACATCATCTGAAGGGCTACCCTGGTCTAAATGCTGCCAAAAATACTACATATATACAAGAATATTAAAGCAGTCAGAACTATGCAGGATGTAAAAATAAGTCAAACATTGCTAAGACCAGGGGTGAAAGGTTTCTTTGGATAATGTGGTTTTAGACCATTTCAGCCTTTTAGCAATTTTCTACTGCTTGGGAAACCCATTATTTTTATAGATTACTACTTTGCTGCTACGCTCTGGTTAAGACATCATTTTGTTTTCTTTTTCATTTCCTTTCACATGAACAGATGCAAATGCAATCACATAACAGGTCTCATTAGTAATTTTTGCTTACAGTTTATGGTTTCTCCCTTTTAAAAAAATGTAATGGAATAAGCGAATGCTAAATTACAATCCTCTTTAGCCTGACAAGCCACCCAGAGGGTTGTTTGGTTTTTTAGGCAAAATAACAAGAACTCCCTTTTGCAATGGACAGTGGTTCTCTTTATTGCAAACTCAATGGTGCCACACACTGAAGCGTTGGTGCTATGTCATCCTAATGAGACTGAGAGTAAAGCATCTATTCCGCATATGTGCCGAGCATCCTTTCAGTCATCTCTTTGCACTTTGCCACCGTACATCCCAGAAGGTTCACTGGCAAGGGATGGCAGGGCATGCACTTAACAGTATTTCCTGAAGTTAGCTCATCTCCTCCTCTGCAGGCTCATCAAGGCTCCAGAGGAAATAATGCAATTTAAAGGGAAATAGATCATCAACATTGTATGGCTTCTCTCCAAGGGTTTCAAATGAGCAAAGACATAGGCTGCTTACCAATTTTGCTGATAAACAAGCGCATTTGCTTTAGACCACCGAGGCTCAACTCTTGAGCTTCCATCTGATGTGAAAATGAGGAGAAATGACCTGGTTTGCAGCTCGATCCTTTTCACATAGCCACACATTTGTTTGTACATGAGACCTTGGCAACCTGATTTAATTCTCAAGAGTTTTGTTATCGTTTTTAGGCCTGTTCTGCGTAACTAGGCATGGATATGTGCACACCTTCCACTCTAGGTAGCAGCAGGGGAATCTTTGAAAGATGCCAGGAGATAAACAATCACAATAGATCAAGCGATGGCCTTCATTCAAGCTGTTCTCTAAGTTGTACAACCTTCCAATTTCATATAAATGTCAGTAGGAGCCGTTGTTCAGTAACCTCTGCTGTGTGAGCAGACTTCCACTCATGCAAATGATGTTACTTCTCCTCCTCCTCCTCCTTTTCCTTTTAAACTCTCAGCCCTCTGGAGTGGATTTCAGGTGTGAAGCAGACAAAAGCAGGAAGAAGTGCAAGCAGAAGGTCATTCTGCTGATTGATGGGCACCAGTTGGATTGTCCTCTGTTTTTCTAAGAATCTTTAGAATTGTTTGTTTGCACACTCTGCTTCAGACAATGTTTAAGCAACTAGTGAACTATTTAATTTATTATCTGGACTGAGTAGATTTTATTAGCCTCAGGAATAAGTACCTCTAGCAAAGCAGTTGTCTGAGTAGTCCCATCACAGACAAGAACCACAAGTTAATGTAATGCTGCTCAACCCTAACTAGAGCAGTTATATGCTGAGTTGTGTCATGGCAAGGCATTCTGATAAGACTTCATTAGGGACAACTCAAGAGTTTTGTGGCAACTTCAAGACTAAAAAAGCTCATTAAAGGCTAAGCTTCCACAGACTAGGGCAGGGGTGGGGCCCATGTGGCCTTCCAGTTGTGGCAGGACTACAGCTACCATCATTCCAGACTATTAGACAGGTTGGCTGGGGCTCATGGGAACTGGAGTCCCACAATATCTGGACTGCTTGCAGGCTCCCCATCTCTGAATCGGAGTCTCTTCCATCAGATGCAGCATATGCTATATGTGATCATGTATTTGTTTGTGCCACAAGATACTTAATACGTTTTGCTACAGCTGACTAACATGGCCATTCCATCTAGAAGCTAACTTCAAAGCAAGCTTCAAGCTTTGCAAACGCTAACATCTGAAAACAGCTTCTAATGTTAGATTCCAACTGCATGCCTTTCAGACCCATATATTAAGATGAATGTCAGTGTAATTAAAGAACGGGTTCATTTCACTGCTTCAAGCATGCATTCTTTATTCTCATCCCCACCAGATGTATTTGGCCAGATACATTGCTTAGCAAATCGTCATTTGACATATCACATGCTACATTTGAAGGCATGAGACTTGAGAAATGTGCTGATTAATGTGATATCCAAAATCACCGTGAAGCTAATAACCAAAATGAAAAATGAGCATTAAAATGGGCACAGTATGGATTTATAGAATGCTGACAGCAGGAAATCAGAATTTAACAGGCCAGAGTATGTGCCTTATGGATTGTTGAGAGATCTGCCCATTTCACAATACAGTGGTACCTCGAGTTAAGAACTTAATTCATTCTGGAGGTCCGTTCTTAACCTGAAACTGTTCTTAAACTGAGGTACCACTTTAGCTAAATGGGGCCTCCCGCTGCCGCCGTGCGATTTCTGTTCTCATCCTGAAGCAAAGTTCTTAACCCGAGGTACTATTTCTGGGTTAGCGGAGTCTGTAACCTGAAGCGTCTGTAACCGAGGGTACCACTGTATAGACTGGACACATTACAGCTGGTTACCTCGCAAGCGAATGCCCTCGCAAGACGGAAAACTCGCAAACGAGGTTTCATTTTCGAGGTGCTCACAGATGAATTTCCCTATGGGCTTGTTCGCAAGAAGAAGCCATAGGGAAATCTCCGGGGACCTCTTTTAAATGCTGTCGTAGCAAAGACTTTTGCCCCGCCGCCTCAAAGATTCCGGACCTCTTCTGAAGGCCGGTGGGGCAAAAGTCTTTGCTCCGATCCGCCTGCCTTCCGGATAGCGGAGAAGCGCTGCATTTGCTCCGTATCCGCACGGCTTGAGCTCAAGGTCAGCGGGGGGGAGCAAAGACTTTTGCCCACCGCCGGCCTAGAAGAGGTCCTGGAGCGGCTCCCGCCATTTCTGCAATTCCTATGGGAAAGGGTCTTCCGGCACAAAAAACTGGGCGCGGAAAGGAATTAATATTGTGCTTCTTTAACTTTCTAATTCTTGCGGACATGTTTGGTGCATTGAGCTCATTAACAACAGTAAAGTGATCTCTTACTAACCAATGTGCAGAACCACGTCTGGGTAGATGTCACCATGCACAACACAAGCCTTCCACCACTTGCCATCAAAAACCCGGAGTGCCTGGGACTTCTTCACCAATTGGACAAGAACAAGGACATGTGGGTTCAACACTACTGCATTCTGAAAGATGGCTGCTTGTATTTTTATGCCAGCATACGCTCTACACATGCCCTTGGTAGGTGTTCACCTTTCTCCTCCTTTTTTGAAACCAAGTAGGTTTTTTCCGTATACATAATACGAAAATGCCAATAATGTAAATCAGGAAGCTTCAGTGTGGTGTAACCGTTAGAGGGTTGGACTATGACCTGGGAGACCAGGGTTCAAATCTCCACTCAGCCATGAAGTCGATGGGGTGACCTATGCTTTGCTACGTCTCCTTTCAGTATTCCTTTACAGTGGTGCCCTCGCAAGACGAAATTAATTCGTTCTGCGAGTTTTTTCATCTTGCGAATTTTTCATCTTGCGAAGCACCACTGTATTAAGTCTGCAGTAATTTTAAGAAGTGGCCCCAACATTCTCCAGCAGGCTACCACACCGCGTGCTATGAGTTGCTCCTCGAAGTCAAGTCGCAACTGCACCTCTTCAAGCAATGCACCCTGGGTATTAACGGTTTTAAGAAAAAGGAAACAAACTTGCAAGATGTTTCCGTCTTGCGAAGCAAGCCCATAGGGAAATTCGTCTTGCGAAGCAACTCAAAAAACCAAAAACCCTTTCGTCTTGCGTGTTTTTCGTCTTGCGAGGCATTCGTCTTGTGAGGTACCACTGTATTACATTGTTGGTACTTTGGCCTGGCATTCCAGGGGTCCCAATTCTTACAGTGACTTTTCAAGATACAGTCACTTTATTTCGTTGTGACACTGTGCATCCTCTGCAACACAGAAATATTTGAGAAAATGTCAATAAACAGCTGACGGGCAGAGCTAGAGTTCTTGGGAGTCGGTCAAGGAGGTGTAGTGGACCTGATGTGATCTGGAGAACCTTGCTCAGGAAAAGCACCTGATCTGTTAGGTTTATGAATGCGGGAACCTGTGACCCATTTAGCCTCATACCGGCAGTGATTTCCTCTGGGTCTCAAAAGAGACGACTTTCCCAGCCTGATTCCTGGGTTTCTTCTTCTTTTTGCTGGAGACTCTGGGGCCATCTGTGTGCATAGTGTGTCCTCTACGTTTTGCCTATTGTCCCTCTTTCTTTTTCTAGGTGGGATTTACCTGCAGGGATACACTGTGAGTGAACAGGCCCTTGGTTCCAGGAGGTCCGTGATTGAAGTGAAGCCACCTTCGGAGGAGTTTAAAACCTTCTACTTATGTGCAGAAAGTGTGACCGAAAACAAACGGTAGATGATGTGCTCCTCTTTCCTCTGAAATTGTTTCTCTAGCCCATTTCTATCTGTCTTTTCACTACCTTTCCGTAGTTGTAGACAATGAGTGAAGTAGAGAGTTTTGAGGCTTCTGAGTAATTGTTTGGGTGCTTGACTATCTTTAAGTAGAACTGAAGTTTTCTATGAACAATTATGGTTCGAATAGGGACATTATTACTGTGTTTCTTTTAAAGATGCATTGAAGGAGAGGTTCAGTGGGAAAGCTTGGTGGGAAGGAAACTCAAGCACCTCTGGAATAAGAAAAAATGAAAATAAGTACAACTGACACATTAAGGACATATTTATTGTGGCATTTCTAAAATGTGCACACAAAGGGGGGAAATGTAAACAGTGGACTTGAAAAAGCTATGAAATCCATAGTGTTATTTCTGTACAATGCTCAAATATATACAATATATAAACAGAACAACAAAATGGAATTTAATAGCATCTTTCTACCTTTGCTATGTTAATTTATCACCTCTAGTGGAAGAGAAACTTGAGTCTTAAACTAATACAGTCAAATCTGCTGATAAATTCTAATTCCACCATTTCACAAGAGAGTCTTCCTTTAAAGCTGTGTGTGTGTGTTGGAGAATGGTGACTTTAAGGCTACATAAGAGAGTAGAAGGAAATGAGTTGTGCCTTCTTAAAATCTTAAAATCCTAATGAGACGTCCATAGATATTTAAAGATACCCATACATGACAATTTCATCACAGTAACTGAGGAAACAGCGTCACTGTGGAAGTGATCTATGCTAAGGGGAATGGTCCTTCAAACTTTTGATGCATCACATATAGGGAAGTAAGAATGTATCATTTTCCATTCCCTCCTGTATTCATCACATACAGCATGGTTTCTATTCTACTAGGGTCAGTGGCGGAACTTCATGCTTCGACACGGGGGGGGGGTGGAGAGCAGGTGGGGGCGGGGCTGGTGCACCACCCACAGGGGCATGGCACCCAGCGTGGGCGAGGGGCAGCCACGATGGCACCACACCGGGATCGCGCTGCCAGGGGCGGTGCACTCCCCCCACACTCCTCTTCCTCCGCCAGTGACTAGAGTTTGTCTTCCACCAGAAACCTTTTCGATGAAATGAAGAGGGGAATAATGTAATGAGAATGTAATTTATATGGCAAAATTATGCAATTTACGCAATTTGCACAATTAATTACGTAAAGTGCATTGTCATTACGTTTTCCTCAGAATTTCCCACATCCTTAATCACAGACCCACAGAAAGAGCAGGACTTATCCTGTCTTGGTTTAAGCCACATTTTGTATATTACTTTCCAGGACTTGGTACAATGCAGACATTCCAGTTATCTATCACATGTCAAAATATTCAAACCACAATCTCAGTCAGTTAGTTATCCATTTTATTCTGAATCCCACAATGCTTTCCATGCCTGGTTTAAAACTAGATTAAAGAATAAGGATTTGCAGGAGGAAATGTAGGAGTCTCCCCCCCCCAAAAAAACCCCATAATTGTTGTGTTGAAAACTAGAGCTACCATCCATTCCTCCTAAATAATTCTTTTTACAAAAACTTTGCCATGCTTCCAGTCCCTGCTACTTTTGGCAGCGCATTTGCTGTGATATGATTGTTCATCTGCCATATTGATGCAAGCTCAAGCAGTCTTGAGCTTGCTGTTATCCAAACACCATTCATTTAGTGACCAGCTCTGCCTATTCCTTTCTTCCAGATGGATCACGGCACTGAAAGCCTCGGTCAGTAAGTGGTTGCCATTAAACCAGGCCATTCAAGACTTCATGAACCGACCATTGGAGGAGACCAAGATGTGAAGGGGAATCTAATACAGTCTTCTGTGCTGGGCTTCAGAACAAGTGTGTACCTGCTACCAGCAAATGATAATTTAGTAACATTTGACCATCACATCTCTCATAACTTACAAGCTGCACAATTTTGTAAGCAATTAGTAAATAAACAAAAAGCCCTTCGTGTGGATATTCCCCCATTTGTTTTGTGTCTTTTTTTTTAACTGCACCTACTACTCAGGAGGAGCTACAATTAGACTCATGCAATGTGTTGTTATGATCTTATTTTCAGTGTGGAAAACATCATTCTCTAAGGGTTGGGGGGGGGTGCATGTTTGCTCCTGAGAATTGTTGTCCTGTGCTTTTACAGACATTAAACTCAAATATCCCTGAATAATATTTTTCCCATTTTCCTCTGGAGTTTCAAGCACATTTGCAAGCTAATACTAATGGACAACTGCAGTTATAAATAGCAGCATATAATTTGATGTGCAGACATTTCAGTTGACTTAATTATAGGTATCTATTGTCACTATAACACATTGATGATGTTTTTCACAGCAGTGAATTGGTATTTTTCTCCCCAGATGTCCCTCTATGTTCTTGTTCTTGCCAAAATCATAACGGCATTTACCAATGTTATTTTTTTATGGGTTTTTTTTTGGGGGGGGAGGTTGTTTTTTTAAAAAAGCCATTTCAGAAAGCTTTTTGTTTGTTTATATCAAACATATTTCTTTGGAAAGAATCATGATGTATGTATGTATGGTGTTATTAATCATGGGTGTAATCATACAATGGTTTGTCTTTATTGAAACTAGGCTATAAGGTTGCAGTCCTACACGCACATGGAAATATGCCCCATTGACATCTATAGAAGTGACTTCAAAGTAGACACATGCAGGATTGAACTGGAAAACTAAATAAGATTGAAAGCATAATGTTTATCAAACCAGACCAGAAATTTATGCTTGTGGTTTATCATGAAGCCCCTTTCCTGCCCCATAGAGGAGAAAATGTGCACCTCCATTCTGCAGAAAGCAAACCACAGGAGGTCTTTTCACAATGCCCTGAGTGACTACAGGTTCATTACTGAACAACAGACAAATGCCAGAGTTTTGACTGCCTATCAATTGGCTGAAGGACACCAAATTTTATTTCTTCCGCTCTGTGTTTCAAAAAGTTTTATTTCCCGGAATCTGGCCATTTTGGTGTCCTCCTCCCGAAAATTATGTCTAGTTTATTTCATCAACTGATTTTGCACATCTTCAAAGGACAGTAGTGGAGAGTTAAGCTTTCTCTTGAATCCTAAGCAACCAGCATTGCCAGATTCTTAGATGAAAATCCAGTTGCCTTGTAACCAGACTTCAATGGCATACCCACATATATGCCCATCTGCTGTGCTGGCATCGTGCCCCACTAGCAAGACAGAGTGCTAATTTTAAATGAAGGGGGGGGATTATAGGTTTTTATAAAGAGGAGAATGTGGGGGAATTATATTTCATATACACCAAAGGATGGCGATATTAAATTGTGGGCATTGCATAAAAGAGACTGTACAGTATTCTTGGACACTTCAGGAATTAAATATGATATTTCCCTGATTACAGTGATGTCAGGTGTAGCTTGTTAAATGATGGCACAGACATTATTTACTAACGGTTGCTTCCTGTAAATTTTCTCTGCTAATTGATTAAGTTTCATTCTGTTGCATCAGCTGAGCAAACCTACAGCAAACTGCTTTGCTGATTGTACTGTAGCTTTTGGGGGGCAGGGGGCGTGTTTTATTAGTACTGAGCAGCCATTGTACAGAACATTTTAAATTTCAAAACTTCCAGCTTTCATGCTTTAAAAATGATTCCACTAAGGACAGAGGGATCACTGCATTTTGAAGATTTCTTAATGGTGTCAGGCGACAAACCTGTACACTCTTACCTAAGACTAGGGGGGGGGGGTATTAACTAAACCGACATTCCATTGAACTCGCTGGGAATTACGTCTGAGTAAACATAGAGGATCCTTAATGCCACATTGACACTAGTGTTTGTGTACACAATCTGTATGGGTTAAGAATGGTAAATGGGTGCAAACACACAAATCCATTCATTATGTGACTGATTGAACCACAGTAGAATATGCTAAGCAAATGATAGCCAATAAGGAAAGCATGAATCTGTTCATTTCAGTTTCTCATTTTCCCCATCAGTTCCACAGCAATCTGCATTTTTAAAAAACCCTCATGGAAATCCACCAACATTTTAGTGTAACTTTCTCCTAAGAGGCACATTTTTGTATGCATATTTTACAATTTTGTATGCAGTTTTTACAATTTTCCATACTTTAATGCATTTGGGGTAAGTTGTTTTTCATGAACGTTTGCATTTTTATGCATGCTTCTCCCTAAAACATGCATTCTGAACACTGTGACTGGAGACCTGCTTTGCAAAATCTGGAGAAGTCCGGAATTTGAAGGCTCATTGTGTTGTAGCTCACCTTTTGGCTAGGGAAGTGTGAAGGAGGTCGTTTCCCATTAAAATGGAAAGGAAATTAAATTTCTGCCCCATCCATATAGCCAGTTAAGATCTACCTACTTAGTTGTGAGATAGCATGTGATCATCTTTCCAGTTTTTCACAACACATAATTCCAGATGCAAAGCAAATCATATCCTTCTCTCACCTTCTACATGGGATTGACTGTAGTTTTTTTATAAAAAAAAAAGTGAAAGAGAAGAGACGCTAGTTTGGAGGTCAACATTCCTTTGTTAGGAAATGCTCTGCACTGTTGCCAGTAAATTGGCTGCAGCAGGAGGAGATAATTTGAACTGAACCATTTGTCATCTGCTACTAAGATATGACAGAAACATGTCCCAAGGTCTGTTACGTCAGGTCAGAGATCACAAACAAAACACACATGATTTCATTGTTTAACGTTCCTGGGATTAATCTTTGCGTTCATTTATATTGTAGGTGAAATGCATTTTCCATGTGGTAAACATGAAGAAATGTTTGAATTATATGTCATTTTCTCTGGATGGGAGACAATTCATTCTTAATTGTTACCAAAGCCCTATTCTGAATAACTTCAGGTAGCAAACAGTCTGGCTGCATTCAAGAATGGACTTGCTAACTGGGATTTTCTTTGTTTCCAATGGTATATTAATTATTGTCTTAGGCCTTGATCCAGGTATGACTATTCACAAAAGGCACTGAACACAACAATGGCAGTACAGATGAAAACAACACAGAACAACCTAAACAAGATGGATGCAAAGGTGCACCGCTCTTTGTCCTGAGCTAAGATGAATGTGGCCAATTGGCATGGGCTTTTGGCTCAGCTGATCCACTTACCCCTGGCACCCTGTATACATCCTTAAGAGGACAGATTTAGTTAGAAACAGAGGAAGCTGTCTTAGACTTAAGTAAGCCATTGGCCCCCTCAATCTCATCATGCTCTACACAGGCCAGTGATGGCACTCTCCAAGCTACCAGACAGGAGTTTCCTTCAACCCTACCTAAAGTTAGAACCTGGAAGCTTCTGTATATAGAATTATTATTATTATTATTATTATTATTATTATTATTATTATTATTAAAATTTGTATTCCACCCTCCGTCCACAGATCTCAGGACTGTTCACAACATAAAGCTACAATATAAAAACCACTAAATACTTAGTGAAAATAAAAACAGCAACAAACCAATAATCCCCTCTCCCACAACACATTTAAAAAGGCATTGGATGTCCATCAGGCCAAGGCCTGGTTGAAGAGGAACGTTTTTTGTCAGGCACCCAAAGGTGTATAATGAAAGTGCCAGCCGAACCTCCCTGGGGAGCGTATTCTACAAATGGGGAGCCACTGCAGAAAAGGCCCATTCTTGTGCTGCCACCCTCCAGACTTCACACGGAGGAGGCACATGAAGAAGGGCCTTAGACAATGATCTCAGGGTCCAAGTAGGTTCATATGGAGAGAGGTCGTCCTTGAGGTATTGCATTCTTGAGCCATAGGTCAAAACCAACACTTTGAATAGGGCCCAGAAACTAAATGGCAGCCAGTGCAGTCGGGCCAGATTGGTGTAATATGCTCAAACCACCTTGAGCAACCTAGCTACCAAATTCTGCACCAGCTAAAGTTCCATACTGTCTTCAGAGGCAGTCCTACGTATAATGCGTTGTGGTAATCTAACCTAGATGATACCAGTGCATAGACAACAGAGGTTAGGCTATCCCTGTCCAGATAAGGGTGCAGCTGGGCCACCAGCTGAAGCTGATGGAAGACACTCTGTGCCACCGAGGCCACCTGGACCTCAAGCGACAGCAAAGGATTCAGGAGCAGCCCCATGTGCCTGCTCCTTCAGAGGTGGTGTGACCCCATCAAGAGTAGGCAAGCTGCCATCCATCCAGTCTAGAGAACCATCCACAAACAGTGTCTCAATCTTAAAAAAAGAGTTGCTCTACCACTAAGCTATCTGTACAACCATGACCAGCAAAGCTGTGCATCAAGGATGGAGTAAGGCTCCAATGCCACGGAGGGAGACAAGTTGTCTTCACGCATCAGTGCTGGAACCTTTGAGCTGCTCCTTCGGCACAGCAGTTTACAGGGTCAAAAATCCAAGTAGCTTCAACCCTAAGGCAAGCATAGTTAGCAGAATTACACAATTAATGTGCATACAGTCTCTAGAACAGGCATAGGCGAACTCAGCCCTCCAGATGTTTTTGGCCTACAACTCCCATGATCCCTAGCTAACAGAACCGGTGATCAGGGATGATGGGAACTGTAGTCCCAAAACATCTGGAGGGCCGAGTTTGCCTATGCCTGTTCTAGAATGATTGGTCTGCCCTTTCTATCTTTAATCTGTACTTTTTCAGGTTTTTCCTGTGCCTAGTGGTACTTTGCTTCTTCATGTCTTTGAGTTTAGGCATTCTTTTCTCTGGATGTCTCATCCCAGAAACATTCTTGTAGGGGACAGGTTTTTTTCCCCAGGACTCTGTATTGGTTATTGAGTATGCATGCACACTAAATACAAATATTTACCAACAGCATTTGAAGGTTGCGTCTAACGGAAAATTTTCAGCACAGGTTAATTTCCCCTCATTTGATTCCATTGCTTAGAATGCTAGCCTGATGTTTTTGCAAAAGCAACAGACCAGAAATGGGCTCAACTCAGAAACATTTCAAGAGAGTGATGGGGGGGGGGCAAACTCTGTCTCCCAGCCTTTTGCTGCTTTCTCCTGATTGCGCTATGGGTCAAAGAACAAAGGCTCGGGAGCACTAGCTAAACAATTCACAGTGTACAGCTGTTTGCCCTTGACATCTTTTCAATAGTGCACCAATGAGAAAAGAGTGCTCTCTTTCATGAGAAGGGCTACAAGGAAAATCTGGAATGCTGACGTTGCCTGGATTTGTTTGGTCCATGAACAGACAGGAGCTGAATTCAGATGAACTGCTGTGGTGTCAAAGCAGACATGCGCTGATTTGTGCTGCTGTCGTGACATC